ATATTATTATATATAATATAATGTATTATATATAATATTATTATATATATAATATTATATATAAATATTATATAAAACAAAATCATATTTTTATTGTTTTATGATATAAATATTTATGATATATTAATTAATGTAATCTTCATTAAATTATAATATTTCACAATTTCATTCAAAAATTTTTTACAATATCTGTTAATAGATATAAAAATGATACAGAAAAATTATTATTTTGCATTTTATTTTTTTGCAATTTTAATTATTTTAATACTTTACATACTTTACTTTAATACATTTTTAATACTTCAATCAATCATTCTTATCGTTTTATATTATGTAATCTTTTTTTATTTACACTTTTTCACTTAATTTTTTTATATTCATTCAAAATATTCTAATTAAATAAAAATGCATAATTTTAAGATCAATATATATATTATTCAGAATAAATATTTCTTTTATTCTTTTATATTATATATTTCTATTTCTCATTTTTTTTTTATTATCTTTTAATTAAGCTTCAATCAATATATTTTTATCTTATTTATTCTTAATTTTAAATTTTATTATTATTTATATGCATTTATACATACTGGCATATACGTATATTATATATGCCACGTAACTGGCATATATAATATAAATATATACAAGCACAAATCTTTGCCAGAAAAATCTTGACATATATTAGGATTACATAAGATATATTCCTTTAGAACAAATGAGCAAACTGCTATATAAAAATATTGGTTAAAATTTATTTATTCAATTTTAAGAAATTGAAGTTTTTGTTAAAAATAAAATGATACCATTTGATCTGTCTCTATTTATTACTGTTATTTAATGCAAATTTAATTTGTTTATAACTTCATAAATAACTTTGTTTGTAACTTAATAATATATTTAATATATTAACTTTTATATTTAATTTAATGTTTAGGATCGATCAAAGATATTACACGAATATATTACGATACTCTATGTGTGTGTGTGTGTGTGTGGCGCGCTAATTTTATTTAAAATTATCATCTTAATAATTTTTATTATTATTATTATTTATAAATTTGAAAGTTAAATGACTTCAAAGAATGTATTCTAATATTTTTTATGTTTTTATGGATGTATGATCGAAGATTTATGAAAATCAACTTTGTGTTGATATAGCTTAACATATTTTATAAAATTATTGCTAAGAAATGATTAGAATATATTTCAATTTGAATTTTGTAAAGTCTTATTGTATGAAAGATAAAAAACATGTGGTCATATTTGCTTGTCATGTTTTTTTTTATCTTTCATGTAATAAATTTAAATTAATATCATCTAAATTTTTATTTTTTTTACATGGTATTTAATATTTTTTTATAAAAAATGTTAAATTGCATCGAAAAAAAATTGCATATTAAAAAATATAAGATTTCTTTTAAAAAGCAAAATTGATCTTCATAAATCCTTGATGCATCTACATAAAAAAAAATGCTAGAATATATATATCAGAATACATATCTTTTGAAATCATTTAATTTTTTTTCATATTTTTTACTGCGATATGTATATATTTATGTATTTGAAATTAAAAAATTATGTATTAAATTAATTGAATCTTACCATTTTCAAGAATTGCATAAGTTATCGAAACAGATATCGAGAGCACAATGATACACGTGTAACTTTTCAAGGATTGTATAATCATTTCGCATGTACCTTTCGGATGTTATCTATGAAATATTGTTTTTCAATGTGAATTGTTTGCTAAAATACGTTAAACTACATTTTAAGAAATGGTCTTCGCATTTATGTTACATTACGTTCAACTGATTACTCCCTTCCTAACGGCCATCTAGACACTGTTATTATCTCTTTAATCATCGTCAACATATTGTCATTAGTCGATAACAATAACGAAATCCGATTTTAAAATCTTTTTACAAGTAATTGCGTGACAAATTAGATTTCTTTACTAAAAGAAAACAATCTCTCAATTAATACTAACAATAATTCCAATAATTTGATACATCAATCATAATCATATCTTATAAATATCATTTTTATATTTTTGTTATTTATACTGTTTTTTTATTTTTGTTTACAAAATGCATTACATTAACCAAAATTGTTTTTTTTTCATATTATTTATCTTATTTTATTATATGAGAAATATAATAATCCTGCACATTTAATAATCTCAAATTGTTGAAATTCCTATTATCAGAATTTTACCATACTTCGTATTTCTTTTTCAATTTATATATTTCAATATAAATCACATTGATTTTATACATTTTTATATGCTCTAATTTTATACATTCTATATAATAATAATGATACAGAAAAATATTTAATTATATAAATTATATAAATAAATAAAATAAAATAAATTTCGAAAATCGAATGATTATATTCCTTTTTTATTTCATAAATTGTGATACTAACAATTATGATACTATTTATTTTTTATTATAAATATCACTTATATATTATAAAAAAAATTAAAAAACTATTTATTTAATAAAATTAATATGATAGTCAAAGAAACGCATATATAATCTTATATATGATAAATCTTATAATGATAAAATAGCAAGATAAAAAATTTATTCAAGCACAAAACTATACATTTTTTGATTTATAAAATAAAAAATTAACAAAATTTTAGAGAAGATAAAGAAGTAATATTAATCAATATTTATTATATTGCAATCTTGTTATTTCTTCATCAGTTATATCTCAAATGTTATGTAGATATAATATGTATGTAAAATTATCTAAATGAATAAAATACATACATATATATATTTCCTAATATATGCAAGCATATGTTTATATGTATTATGTATAGCATACAAAATATGTTTTGTAAATATATAATCTATCACTTTTTCTTTGTTCTTAAATACGTATGTTTAATCGTACACTGATATCAAACGAAATAAAGTTAAAGTATTTTTATAATATTCGTAAAATATAATTCAACATAATGCAACATACAATATATATACAAACATTATGATATAAGATCATATCAATTGATAAATTAGAATAGTTTGATTAATATGCTTGCATTCATTTGCTACTTTGTTGTATCTTTTCTAGGAGATTTATCTTTACCATACATAGAATCTAAGAATAATCCTGAAAATACTATTAATGTACCCATCCACTGTTTAGAAGTCAAGCTATTACCAAAAATAAGTATTGAGCCTAAAACTGTAAAGAATTTTCTAGTTGTAGTTATAATGGAACATGGTAATGGACCAAATTCTGCAACAGTAAGAAATATAAAATATTGTCCAAATGCTCCTGCTATAGAAAAAGTAGCTATATGCCATATAGTAGAAGGATATTTATGTAAGAATTGAATAAATTCCAAAAGTTCTCCTGAAGCTATAATAACAATGCCACTAAAGATCACAGACCATCCATTCATATTCAACATCATATGACCAGATTTAGAATTATGTTCAGATTTCATTCTTTCTTGTACAGCACTAGTTAAACCATCCATTGTTAATGAAAGTAATAACAATAATTCTCCAATGATTGTTTGTCCTTCTGAATGCTTTTTTAATGGATTGACATCTTTATACATAAATAAAGCTACTCCAATGACTACTAAGAAGACAAATAAATATTTTCTCACTGGATAAACCTGTAAAATAACATAATAAATTTTTATGAAATATAAAATATTCAACTTATGGCAAATAAAATTTATAATATATACATAATATAATGATATATATATATAAATAATATTTTTATTTATACATACATTATTACATAAATGTAAATAAATTTTAAATATTAAAAAAAACAATAGATACTAAAATAGAAAAATAATTAAAAATTAATATTTAATATATAATAATAATAATTAAAAATTATGTATGTACAAATTCTAAAAATCTTTTTTTTATGTAT